AGGGGGAAAAGGCACCACTTTTAGAATAATTGAGGGGGCTAATGTGCTTACCTAAATAATTGAGGGGGAAAAAGTGCTATAAGTATATAACTCAGGGGTAAAAAGTGTCATTTTCCCTATGTTAGATTATGTGTATTCTACTATACAATTCTGTACATTCAAAACAGGGGAATTTTTTTAGAAGTTAACGACAAAAACGGGAAATGAAAATTCTAGCAAAAAAAAAAAAAAAAAAAAAAAAAAAAAGGCACAAGTGTCAAATAGGTCCATCTACTATTGCGAAGTGCTCAATTCCCACCACGAACTAAATTAAGTGTCAAATAAACCCATTTACCAGCTAAATTTGTTCAATTAGCTTTATTTACAGGTTACCAACATGTTACCTATTTATTAATTATTAATAAATAAAAATAAAATAATTTAAAAAATTAAAAAAAAAAAAAAAAGATAATAGCCACCGGCTGTCCGGCGAGGACAGCCGGTGGCTGCCCATTCACAGATAGCCGTCCAACTGAGGTCCAGATCTGGGAATCGAACTCCAATTAAAATATATTTGCAGAGGAACTGAATTAATCAAAAGGAGAAAACATGATAGGAAACAGTTGATTTGAATGAAAACCATCAAACAAGTGTGAAGTTGAATTAATGAGAAATATCTGCTGTAGTCACTTGAAATCTTGGAGAACATTAAAACGAAGAAGTTTGTTTTGATACATGGAGAGGGATTTGGAGCTTGGTGTTGGTACAAAACTGTTGCTTTACCAGTGGCTATTATCTTTTTTTTTTTTTAATTATTTTATTTATTTATTTATTTATTTATTTATTAATAATTAATAAATAGGTAACATGTAAAAAAGGTTAATTGAACAAATTTAACTGGTAAATGGGCCTATTTGACACTTAATTTAGTTCGTGGTGGGAATTGAGCACTTCGTAATAGTAGATGAGCCTATTTGACACTTGTGCCAAAGAAAAAATACAAAATGACGTCGTTTTGACCAGTGCGTCTTGTGCACAATATAATTTGCCCATATTTAATAGGTAGGCCTATTAAAAATGTTTCAAAGTAGGTCCTAAATAGACATTGAGCTTATTTAAATAAGCTTTGAGCTTACTTCATGTTAAAGCCTTTTAAAGCATACATATTCCTCCATAAGTACATAAGTATATTACCAAAAAGTTTTTAGAATATACCTAATAGAAAATTAATATATAACTGCATAAGTATATTACCAAAAGTTTATGTATATTATAAAATTACAATCAATCAATAATAAAAAAAAATGACAAAATCATAAGTTCATAATACAATATCCAACAACACAAAGTTAATAACTAGACGTCCATAATACAAAATTCAAAAATACAAGTTTAATAATAGTAAGAACCAACACTTATGATTATTATAACAAATTAGCATTTCATGATTATTATTATTATAGCAAAATAGCACTTATGAACCAACTAATCATTTAAAAGTTAAAACTCTATTCAAGTATATATTCATCTTATATACTATTATACTATACTGTTTAAAACTAAGTACTCCTTTGGAGGATGTAATAAGTAATTTGCATTTTCTCCAAGGCGGCCTAAAATATCAAGATTCCTAAATTATGTGAATATGAGATATTTAATTTCTTACAGGTCCATACCAATTTGAAAAAGATTGATAAACTAAGATCTATGTGTTTTTTGAGAAAAAGGAATCTCACTACCCTTCTCAATCAACAAGAAACTCAAATAGAAGTAAATAAGCATGTGTTATTTAAAATTTATTTCTAGAATTCCAAACAAACCCTAAATCTTATATGATAAACTAACATACAAAGTGAACTATTTATTATTATTCAAAAAGTGAATATTATTATTATTATTATTATTATTATTATTATTATTATTATTATTATTATTATTATTGTCGTTCACGGCGGCGGCGGCGGGTTATTGTGACGTCATGTTATAATTTTTTCCATTTAGTATTTATGTGGCAATTAACGTAACATTACATGGAAGAATATGCAAAAGGGATCACATTATATTTTCTTTTACCAGTTTAAAGATTTGATTTAAAATTTTAAAGTTTAGTGATCTAATTATATAATATTGTGTAATTTAAGTGTTTATTTGACCTTTTTAATTTTTAAATTGAGAAAAAATAAAATAAAAATCTTGAGAAAAGAAAATAAAGAATTAAATAAACGCATCCATTACATTTTTAGTTCAAAATGCTCTTTAAAATCAATGGAGTGAAGTTTAGTGAATTTTGACATTGTGGCAACATATTTAATATTTTGAATTAAAAATAAAATATTTTTTGAAGTTTAAAATTAAAAGTGAAACAATTTAAACAAAAAAAAAAATGAAAAGTAACAAATCATCCGATCACAATTTATTCTGTCGTTTTTCTCCGCTCATCAAAACACAATTTTCCTTCTTTTTTTTTTTTTTTTTAAACAATAATTTAAAAATATCTTATATGTATATTTTATTCTCTATACACTGCTGGAAATTATTGAATTTCCGACCACCTGAAAGTGATCTTAAATCAGGTCGTAAGCAAAAAGTGGTCGGAAATACCAACAAAGATTTTTCCGGATACCAAAAGTGGTCGGAACAAGGCTTTTGACTTGATTTAAGATCACTTTCAGGTGGTCGGAAATTCCATAATTTCCGGTAGTGATAATTATTAAATATTTATTTTGATATCAATAGTTTAATTCGTTAAATCTTGTTAAATGAATACTGATGGTTTTGTTGGAACCAGATTCACCATAAACTGGGCATAGTGATAGTATTATTAGCTCGGGGCGCTAAGAATCAGACCTTGGTATGCTAATAGAAAAGAGAAGACCCAGACCACTCAGCCAGAAGGATCTCTGCGTTCTAGAGGTGTGTCCTAAGAAGAGCATCTTCCCCCTTTTTACTGTCTTCGGACTCACCTGTACCGTCCACGTGTACGCCATACATGACATCCAGCCTCCACCAACAACGTGTCCTACGTCTCCCTGCCTCCCTACTTAATTGCCTCCATGCCGCCATCCACCAGCCAGGGCGCCAGGCTACACGACCGGGACACAACCGGGCACACCCGACGCGCCCAACTTGCCTCGACCGACGGCACTGCGTCCACGATCGAACCGGCAGGGATGGTGTTGCCCCGTGTGCCTTGAACGGCGGGCACCCTGCCACGCCGGAGGGACGCACAGGGGCGCGCCCGGCGCCCTTGGTCGACAATCCACGTGGTGGCGCCGGCTAGCCACCTCTCCACGGGTCACCTCCTATACCCATACCAAGTGGGCCAAGCCCAATCGTCTAATCAACAATAGTTATGCTGTGGAAATGTGTTCACCATGCGCATGGTGAACACAGGGGTAGATCCATAATTTCTATACTGTACATTCATAATTTTTTTTTTTTGAAAACGTAGATTCATAATTATGTTTTTCATTTGTTGTTAACGGGATAGATCCATAATTTCTAAGTTGTAGATTCATAATTTATATACTGTAGATTCATAACATCTATACTGTAGATTCATAATTTCTATACTGTGGATTCATAATTTCTGTACTGTAGATTCATAATTTCTATACTGTAGATTGATAATTTCTATACTGTAGATTGATAATTTCTATACTATAGATTCATAATTTCTGAACTGTAGATTAATGATAGCTGCAACAACAAATGAAAAATAAAATTATGAATCTACGTTTTTAAAAAAAAAATTATAAATTTATAATATAGAAATTATGAATTTACTCATGTATTCACTATACGCATGGTGAACACGTTTCCACGGCATAAGTTGCGCCTAATCACAATATCCCCATCAAATACATTATGATCAAATTATCTTTTCTTTTTTTTTTTTCTTTTTTCTTTTCAAAAGGGTGAAAATATTTCCCGAGTTTTGAAGTCATTGGGAAATGCGATTAGACTATGGCATGGTATTGGAATAAGCAATTAAGCAGTTCACATGTATACATTTAAAGCCAAGGCATGAAAATTTCCAAACATATTTGCGCCCACAGTTTGTGTACCTTAATTATTCACCAATATAAATATGCTTTAAATGATGTATAAATTGATCTTGTGCTCCTAATTTAAATTACTATTTATCGTAAGAGGATATTTTCTTGAAAAATCTTACCAACACTTTCCTCTCTAAAAGTATTTCTTAATATTTAATGTTTACGTGATACTAATATAAGGTTTTAATTTTTCATTTTCATATATTAATTACTTGTGTCAATATAATTACAACCCCACATAATAATTAATCACTAAAAATAAGAGTTAATATCATATAAGATCTTCCAAGTATAATGATTTTATCACGTTTAGTCTTAAACTTATAAATTGACTATATATGATCATTCGACTTTCAAATGAATAAATACCCAAAATGGTTCATCGACTATGCCATAATTCACAAATTAGTCCTCCACTATCAATTCTACCAATTAAGTCCTCAACTATTCAATTCTTACTCAATAATTCACAAATTAATCCTTTGTTGAAGACCTTATTGAGTAAAAATTGAATAGTTGATGACTATATTGAGTAAGAATTGAATAATTTAAGACCTTATTGAGTAAGGATTGAATAGTCGATGACTTAATTTGCTAAACTTGATAGTCGATGATCAATTTGTGAATTTCATTATAGTCGATGGACCATTTCAAGTATTAACTCCTTTCAAACTGTTACCATATGTTGTATAAGTATACTACCCATGAACCTTTAACTTTCAAAATTTAATCCGCCGTGGTCCTCCTAGAAGGACCATGGGTGGTCAAAATTTGATAGTTACGTTGAATGACAATGGATAGTTAATTTGGACAATAAAAGTTAAAAACTACAAATAATCAATTTGAATGTTTAGAATTAAACGTAACAAAATTAACTCTTAAAAAAATATAATTCAAGTAAAAATAACTAAAAAATTAATATAATAAAGAAATTAAAAATTGGAATCCCCAGGATCGACATTCTTGTTCCAAAATCCAGAAAGAAACAAAACACAGCTTTCTAGGATACACAAGCTGACTTTTTCCGGGTAGAAGGTCAAGATTCAAGATCCAGATAATTGTCGGGTAGATTCGATAAAACATAGGATTAATCGTATAGTACATGTTGATCCTGAGGACAAAAAAAAAGAGGATGGAAATGATAGTTTAATCCAAAAATTTTAAAATAATAATAACAATAAGTAAAGATCGAAATTGGCGACGAGCTGAGATTCTTCTAAAACAAATCACCATTTTCATTATCGTCGTCGAGAAGCCAACTCTCCAGCATAACCGACAACGGGACTTGTGGTTTGCTCTCATAGGACTGAGAGAACTGGTCGGACGAGGAATCGAAGCCGAAAAGGGATTCAAAGGCTTCGCTCAAACAAATCCCGTCGTCGTCTTTGCCGGGAGCATTATCGTCGCAATAAGACGATGAAGAGGTGTCGGTGACGGTGGTTGGGGTGGCGGCGGCGGCGGCGTTACTGTTACTGGTGGTGCTGATGCAGGGTGTTGAGGAGTAAGATTTCGCCGGAGTTTCCATCCAGCCTTTGAGCAGCCTGGCAATGTTGTCGGTGCTTGACGCATACGGCGGCGGCGCCGGTTGAGGGACGGCGGTGAAATCAAGTAGCGGGCGGTGGCGGTGGGATTTCTCGAGAGATAAAGCGTCGGTTAGGGCTTGTTTGGCTGTGTTTATATCCGCTTGAAGGGTCCTCTCCCACTGGCCTCTTGATGAGGACTGCGAAGAAGAAGATGATGATGATAACCTACTAGCGGAATCAATCATCAACCCCCCGCCGGATTCCATCAATCTCAGTTTTTTCTTCAAGTGAGTATTCCAATAGTTTTTTATGTCATTATCTGTTCTCTCCGGAAGATATGATGCTATGGCAGCCCATCTATAAAACAAACAAACAAAAAAATTATGTGATTCAGCAGATAAGGTCAAATCTCAGTATAAACAAGAGATCTGTTCACTTTAAACATAGTGTTACGATTGAATTATACTTGTCAGGTCAAATCTCAGTATATACCAGAGATCTGTTCACTTTGAACGTAATGTCACGACTGAATTATATTGTCTACTGAACCAGTAAGTCAGTAATATAATCTAACATACTTGTTGCCTAGAAGAGCTTGAAGCTGAATGATCATCTTCTCTTCTTGATGAGTGAAGCTGCCCCTCTTGATGCCTGGCCTGAGATAGTTAGTCCACCGAAGCCTGCAACTCTTACTGCATCTTCGCAAACCTGAAATTATATACTAGGTAAGTATATACTTGGGAATTAAAAAATTCCAAGAATTGAAGAGATTAAAACAAGACAATTACCAGTATTAGCGGGCACAGTTCTCCAGTTAGCGGGGCCGTGTTCTTGAACGAAGGAGACGAGCATGATATCTTCCTCAGGAGTCCATGGGCCTTTCTTAACACCCTGCTTATCACAGCAAGGAGGCCTGCCCATTCTTAATAAGCTTCTATGGAGGCCAGGGGAGTACTAGAAATGTGGTCTTCTCACTTTCTTGATTTCAATGGCTGCCTTTACTAATGGGGAAAAAGAGGGAGAGACAAGGGTCATATATAGAAATGAATGAGAGACGACGCTGACCTGATAAGCACCAGATTAAATGAGAGAGAGAGAGAGGGGAAAATAGTCAAAAGGTGACAGCAAGAGCAGTAACTCCGGCACGAGGCCGGGTGGAGCTAAAGTCAGCCCTTTGCCTCCTCAAAACCGCGTCGCATTCAATTCAACATAGACTCTTCCCCAAACTCCATCTCCTACTTAATTACCTGCACTAAACACTCTCTCTCTCTCTCTCTGCACCTACTAATTAAACCACACTTTAACTCCCTTAATGATATCTCCCAGTTCCAATAAAAGCACGTAAATGGCGCCTTTGCTTTCAATGGCTTCCAACTTCCTCTTCCCAAGACCCAGTCCTTGCATTGTGATATGTGATGATGATACTCCATAAGTCAAGAGATCTACTGGCACCTACCAAGGGTTAGTATAATATGGAGATTTATTTTCCTTCGACATTCACCATATTCAATTCTCTATATATTGCCACACTCCAATGAGCTTGGATCGGAGGCTTTAAATCTTGGGAGAATTCTGTAAACATGATAGATTCATGGAATCCATTCATTTGTATAGGTGAACCGTTGTTGATGGTTGAAAAATAAAGGAATGAACGGCATACTAGTTTTCTAAATATTGCAAGTTTGTAATAATTATAAAATAAGTTTTTTTTTTTTTGAAAGAATTATAAAATGAGTTAATAATTAAAATGGTCTCTTGACTATAACAAAATTATCAATTTGGTTCTCGACTATTTTTTTTTTACCAATTAAGTCCATCAACTTAAATTTTTTTTAATCAATTTGGTCCTCCTTTAATTTTGTCGTTAGACTTTCATTAACTTGGGATCAAATTGATAACTTTACTATAGTCAAGAGACCATTTCAGCAATTAACTTTAGGGGTGACAATTCGGTTCGGTTTTCCTGAACCCAACCATACCGAACCGAATCGAACAACCAAAAGATAATGGATTCTTGAGTACCAAATAGTTTGGTAAAAAACTAAATCGAACCGAATTATTCAGTAAAAAACCGAATGTCGTTTGAATTTTTTAAATATAATATTAATGTTAATATTAATAATAAAGTAAATCCAAGTCCCTTGCTGCCTGCTCTGCCGTTCAGCTCATATTCTCATTGATATTTCTTGTAAATGTTTTATAACAACATAGTAAACATCAATTGGTGTTGTTATATATTAGACTTTGGATTTATACGAAAGATACCAGTGAGAATATGAGCTGAACGGTAAAGGAGGCATGGACTTGGATTTACTTCTTTTTATTATTATTATTATTATTATTATTATTATTATTATTATTATTATTATTATTATTATTATAGTTTAAATAATATCAAACGGTATTTCCTTTCGATTTTTAACCGTATTGTTCGGTACAGTTCAGTTCGGGAAAAACCGAACCGAATTGCCAACACCTAAAGACTAAAGTTAATTACTGAAATGGTCCCTTGAGTCCTTGACTATAGCAAAATTACCAATTTCGTCTCAAGTTAACTGAAGTCTAACGGCAAAACTAACGGAGGACCAAATTGGATAAGATTTTTAAAGTTGAGGGACTACTTAATTGGTCAAAAAAAAATAGTTGATGACCAAATTGGTAATTTCGCTATAGTCAATGGACCATTTTGGTAATTAACTCTTATAAAATGCGTAGCTTAGTTCAGGTGCGGCCCGCACTAGTAGTTATGCAAATATGCACCAATAGTGTTAGAAAATGTACAACAAAAAATGCACAAATACATCAAAAATCACACCATTAGGTAAGCATCACAAAAAATGCACCATTAGGTATGCATAAAAACACCACATAATGTTCGGAAATGCACAATTATGTAAAGGGAGGTATGGTGCATTTTTTTTTATAATGTATTGTGCATTTCATTGTTGTGTATTTTTCTAACACTATTGATGCATTTTTTAAGCAGCCACACCGACTGCACGTTAAGATGATGCTGCATTTGAGCTAAGGTATATATATGCATATAAGTGTCTAAGGGTTATATTAAAAAATGTGGTTAATTAGTTAAATGCATCCCTAAGCGTGCATAATAGAGGTCTCTGTGTGCACAAAACATGTTAGTACCATGGTGAGAAAGGGGATTATCGATTGATGCAAGACTTATATCTCTCAAGTAAAAAGTACTCAAACTCATGAAAATTTAACCCTTAATAAAGATAGATGATGCGAGTAATTAAACAAATAACAATTGGAATGAATAACAACAATTGGAAATGCACAGGGGAATAAGAACTTAGATTAGGTCTAAGCAATGTTACCAAATTGGGAACAATTGAAAGAGTCATTCATTGACTTGATAGGAAATACCTTTTAACCGAGAAAGAAGCATTTTTCTAAGTCAATTCGCACTCTTAGAAACTTTCAAGGACATTCTCATAACTCATAAGTGGCTAAGAGGCATTTCATCAAAGACCTTGGTCTTGATATCCATACTTCCCTTTTTTCAAATGTAAAATAAGGTTAATTAACCCATTGAATCTAGATTAGCTGATTAGATAATCACTTCCTAATCGAAACTCAATCATGTTAATTAACATCATCAAAGTTAAGTCTCATCTCCCTTACTCAACCAATTTAAGGTTACATATCCAAGAACCTAATCTATATCCTTATCATCCTGCAAAGAGAACTACTCATACTTTATTGCAATAGAAATGACAATATATAGATTCAAAACCAAGATAGCAATCCATATCAATCACAAAACAATAAATCAAAATAGCAAGACAGTAAGCAAAAGTGCAATAAAATGAAATTGAAATTGACTTATCTAATTGAAGATGAAATTGCAAATCAAAATGTTCAATCCTTGCTCCCAAATGTAAATGACTTTGAATCTAACTAGAACTTGAATTGCAATTGTAATTGAAATTGAAAATGGAATGTAAATTATAGGGGGGTAAGGAATAGAAAGTAGATTAGGAATTGAAAGTAACTAACTAAAGTGTAAAAAATAAAAAGTCAAAAAGTCCAAAGATCCCCAAATCAAATTTTCTTTCTTTTATTTATGTTTTTCAGAGAACACGGTGCATCACAAGGCATGTTACACTGTGATGAAGCCTCGTGATGGCCTTGATCACCTTGTAGGAGCATGTGTTGTGTTACGAGCCATCTCACGTCATGATGGTCAACGTGACAGCAGAACACCCCTTGTAGAAAATTACTTCACATTTCCTATCATGTCGTGATGCTTGTTCGTGATAGCAGAAGATGCCTCGCAGATGTTTCCTCATGAGCTCTTGTCATGCCGTGATGAAGCCTCGTGATAGCAAAAGATAACTTTTTTAAAGTTGTTTCTCACGAGTTACGTCAAGCGTGTGACACCCTACGTGACGGCGTCGTTTTGGCTTCCATCCTATTTTGTTCATTTTCCTCCAATTTTCCTTGAAGTTGCCATTTTTACCTTCGAAACATAATATTGCTCTCAATTAGCTGACAAATTATATAGTGTGCTCATTTTTCTCCAATTTTCCTTGAAGTCGATCCTCCCCATACTTTATTCAGTAATTGGTCACTTTAAATACAATTAAAGTTATACTAAACCAAAAACGATCAATTAATACACAAGAAAAATAGAACAATTAAGCACCTTATCACCAGGTCTATAATATTTTTGTTTCTGCAGATTGTTTGTATTATGATGATAATACCTATGTTAGGAATAGTTTTTTTGATGTATGCATGCATGCAAAATTAAACTTGGGTATGCTTCTTTAAGTTCTTTTCATAAAAGAACTTTCTTTCAGAAGCAAGATCCCTCAATTTTCAATAATAATTAAAAGTCTTGTCTGTGATAGGTGGCAGCTAAGCAAAAGAGACTGCCCTTTCCTGTTAGTAGTTCTATCACTAATGCTTGCTTTGACTTAATACACATTGATATACAGCGGCCATATCATGTTCATTCCCTGTATGGTCATCATTATTTTTTTACTATAGTAGATGATCACAGCAGAGCTACTTGGGCTTATTTGATGAGAAAAAGGATGAAGCTAAAGGCTTTTAGCTTTAACTGCACTGTTTACCTTTGTTGAGACTTCAAACTCGTGACCTGGCCTGGCTCTATATATGATTCTGGACTTGCCGTTCAGGTCATTGCCTACTTATTTTCACCCCTAAGCTATCATTGGTGTTGCACTTTCTGTCATTTTATTAATTTTCCATGCTCACTTTTCGTTCCTAAGCTAACTTCTCGTGGTTACTTTCTGTCCCTGATGTTTAATTAGTAAAGAAACAAAAAGTGCAACACCAATGATAACTTAAGGACAAATTCTATAATTATCTTATAACATAGAACAAAAAAAAAAAACAAAAAAAAAAACAAATTTTTTTAAATGGAAGAAATCATTTCTTGCAAGACCGCTCTCTCCCTTTCTCTCTTCCATGTATAAATAACTTAGAGGGTCACATTATAAGGGATTTGATTTTTGACTCTCTAACAACAATACTAATTTCATAGCGTTCTTGCTCTCTAGCATTGCTTTAAGATTGTATTGGCCATTCAACTCTTACCTTGTAGCAGAAAAATCAACATGTACAATACACAATAATGTTACGTATCTTTGAGATCATTTTATGTAGTCCTCGTCAGTAATTTTATCCACTTTTTAAGTAGATGAAATTTTTTGTCTAACTTTTGCGGTGGCCAAAAAGTTATGGACCCATTATTTTTCTTGCCCAGCTAAAAGTTCCAGATTTTTATCCACTCTTAAATGAATGGAAATTTGAAAATTTTGAACCATGAATATTAAAAAATAAAATTTTGATGAATGAGGGAGATTTTTTTTATGATAAAAAAGTTTATTTTATTTAACTATATTTCAACTTAACACTTAAAATAATCCAAAAAAATTTGTAGCCTCCCTTTATTGCAACCAATGGTAAAATACACCCGTGCATGCAAATATGCAACGAAGACCATACGTCCAATGACAGGTTGACTATGTGACCAAGAACTCATATTTCAAATCTTATTACTACTGTACCATATAACTTTATTTGACTTTGTTA